CACGATGCAATGCGGATTCGGCTCGCAGCGACACTGTTACGAGGCCCAGCGCTCGAGTGGATTTACAACAGCAATAAGATCCGAGGCGAGGGGTCATGGACGCAGTTTCGAGAAGTTTTAATTCAACGTTTCGAACCAATCAACTCCAGCTACATGGCGCGGCAGCATATTCATCGGCATAAACAGTTCGGCAGTGTAACACAGTACACGCACCAGATGGAGAGCCTCTTCAACCGAATTACCGACCTGACCGAAGGGGAAAAAATCCAAGCGTATACTGAGGGGCTAAAGATGGAGGTCCACCGACAAGTGATTGCCGCGAACTACAACAATTACCGCGACTTGGTGTCTGCAGCAAAGAGATTCGATGCGCTGATGCGATATGAACCCGAGACACGACGCCATGTGCCGAACCGATCATTTGGCACGAAGCGATCGGCACCACCCACGACCGCCGACCTGATGGATATCGACAAGATCGACGCGAAGCAGCGGCCCACAAAATATGAGAAGTGCGAATTTTGCGGCGCAGCAGGACATCGACTCTTGGCATGTTGGAAAATGAAGAAGGTACGAGCGGAGCTGCAGGGCAACAACAGTGCGACATCCATGATGGCGAAAAAAGGAGGACACGATGGCGCGAATTTAGAACGCCACGACCGGCCCGCAACAGGGGAAATCGCCGAGACAAATGGAGGCTCCGCGAAACAAGACTCTGCAGCGGCCGGGAAACTCCAACCGAACACCCCCGAGAGTAAGAATATTCCCTCTCGAGGTTTTCAAGCCTTTAAAAACTTCAGAGGAGATTTTAAGGCCAAGAAAAAGCCTTCAGACATTATTCAGGTACCTGAGAAGTTGGGCAAACCACTCGGGAGCGTTGAAAAGGGTCGTGCGTTCCAAGGAGTTCATATTCTCTCCACGCAGCATAGTGTTAAGGCTCCGCATTGCCCACAGGAGAAGCCTACACAACTGCAAAGGCTTAAGGGAAGGTTCCAGGCCATGACGAAGCTGAATCGGCCTCGGATAAATCCTTCTAACCCTACTCAGTTGGAAACTGATATGGACTCAGCAGCTTCGAGCGCAGGACTGAGGGATGGTCTATTTGACGTACCCTACGATCCTATAAGCGAGACCATCTACGGTTACTCGGAGCAGCAACAACCACTACTACTCGAGGTGATCTGCAATGGGCGACGCCTCCAGGCACTGGTGGACAGCAGTGCATCTCACTCGGTGTGCGACCGCAGGACGTTGGAGAAAATTGGAGAACCTTCGGAGGAGACCAAGTTCATGGCAACAATGGTGGACGGTACGAAACTTCCCATCCACGGCGAAGCATCACTGCAACTGCACATAGGGGCGCTGAGGTGGAAGCCGAAGTTGCCGATCACGAGCATCAAGGGCTTAGATTTCATCTTGGGGCGAGATTTCTTGAAGCGGTTCAACCCCGAGATCGACTGGGTCAACAAGAAGGCGTGCATCTACAACAACGGGAAACGAGTGGAGCTGCGAAGCTGGACGGATACAGGGAGCGTTCCTGAAACGACACTGGCACGGTTCGAACAGACGGTGAACGAGAGTAACGCAGGGTACCTAGCACTGGTCATGGCAGCAGCAGAGGAGGAGATGCCGAACACGGAGCTACCTGCAGCAGTGAAGGAGGTCTTGGAGTAGTACAACGATATAATGCCCGACGACCTACCCGCAGGCGTACCTCCAGCGCGCACCCACGAGCACGAGATCGTGGAGGAACCAGGTGCGAAACCCGTCTCACGTGCACCATACCGATTGAGTCCGACCGAACTAACAGACATGAAGAAACAGATCGAGTATCTACTAGACAGACAACTGATCCGACCCTCCACCTCTCCTTACGGCGCATCAGTTCTCTTTACCCCAAAACCAGACGGCAGTCTACGGATGTGCATCGACTACCGCGCACTGAACAAACAGACGGTAAAAAACAAATACCCCATACCGCGCATCGACGACTTACTGGACCAACTGCGTGGTGCAACAGTCTTTTCGAAGTTGGACCTACGGTCGGGTTACTGGCAGATCAAGATGGCGGACAACTCGATCCACAAGACGGCGTTCCGTACCAGATACGGCTCCTACGAATACTTGGTGATGCCGTTCGGACTCTGCAATGCACCAGCAACGTTTCAGGCGGAGATGAATCACATCTTACCACCCCTGCTGGACGAGTGCGTGGTGGTGTACCTGGACGATATTCTCGTCTACTCCAAGAACATGAAGGAGCACGTGGAGCATCTGCGGAAGGTGTTCAAGATCCTGCGGAAGAACAAGTTCTATGTGAAGCTGTCAAAAAGCGACTTCGCCCTGAAGAAGGTGTAGTTTCTCGGGCACATGGTGAGTGCCGAGGGCGTACACGTGGACCCGCGGAAGATCAAAGCCGTCAAAAAGTGGAAAGTACCGGAGAACGTGAAGGAGTTGCAGCAGTTCCTAGGCTTCGCCAACTACTACAACAGGTTTGTGCCACAGTACGCTAAGATTGCAGCGCCACTGACCGACCTACTGAAAAAGGATACGCCCTACAAATGGGATACCCCTCATCAGCAAGCCATGGAGCAGCTACAGACAGCACTGACTACAGCGCCAGTACTCATCCTACCAGATCCAGACAAGGACTACGTGGTGGAAGCAGACGCTAGTGACCAAGCAGTCGGAGCAGTACTGATGCAAGATCACGGACGCGGCTTACAACCCATTGCCTACCTCAGTAAGAAGCTACACGGAGCAGAGCTGAACTACCCCATTCACGACAAGGAAGCCTTAGCGATAGTCATAGCCTTCAAAGCGTGGAGGTGTTACCTAGAGGGAGCCAAGGCTACAGTCTATACTGACCACTGCAGTCTCAAATACCTAAAGTCGCAGCCAACACTCTCACGTCGACAGGTGCGGTGGGTGGACTTCTTGGAGACCCACTTCCACTACGACATCATCTACAAACCCGGGCTAAACAACAAAGCAGACGCGTTGAGCCGCCCAGGACATGTAGCAGGCATCTAGCTCGACGGGATGAACCCTCTGCTCAAGGGTCTATTCCAACATGGGTACTCCGTGGACGCAGAGATCGCTACAGCACAGACCAAGAAGCTGTTACAGTGGGAGAAAGACTTAGCTCTAAGGAAGGGTTCAGGAAAGATTTAGGTACCGAATTACGCCCCGCTACGACAGATCCTATTGGAGGAGTTTCACGACATACCTTACGCGGGACATTTCGGGAGCAACAAGACGTTAGCAGGGATAGCAAAGTATTACTACTGGCCCGGGATGGCAGCAGACGTGCAGCAGTTCGTCACCTCTTGCGACACGTGCCAGCGGATGAAGAGTAGCAAGCAGAAAAAAACAGGGTTACTTCAGCCTCTACCCGTACCGGAGCAGCCATGGCAAGTCGTGAGCCTCGACTTTATCACAGGACTTCCTTCGACCTCACGGGGGCACGATTCCATCCTCGTAGTCATCGATAAGTTCTCCAAAATGGGCCACTTCATACCGACCAACAACACAGCTACAGCTGAAGCAACTGCTCGCCTCTTCTTCGACCGCATCATCACCATCCACGGCATCCCCGCTACACTCATCTCAGACAGAGACCCAAAATTCACCAGTAAGTTCTGGAAGGAGCTCATGGGACTGTTGGGGACAAAACTTGCAATGTCTTCAGCATACCACCCCCAGACTGACGGACAGACAGAGCGACTCAATCAAGTGGTTGAACAGTTACTGCGCACAGCTTGCAAGGACGACGTCAACCACTGGGACACATAGTTACCGACCCTAGAGTTCGCTTACAACAACGCATCACATGCGGCCACATGAAAAACTCCTTTCTTCCTATGTTACGGACGGGAACTACTCACACCACAGCAGCCAACCACACCGGCACACGTCCAAGCCGCACATGACTTCGTCACCACCATGCAGCAGCTATGGGAGAAGACTCAGCGACGACTCACCACGATGCAGACCTCCCAGAAGCAGTATGCCGATCGTCAGCGACGTGATGACTCAGTAGCAGTCGGAGATCAGGTGCTTCTTGACACGCGCAACTTGAACCTGTCTCACCTCCCATCCAAACTCCGGTCTCGCTTCTGTGGTCCTTTTCTCGTTGAGGCACAGGTGACACCAGTTACATTCCGCTTGCATTTACCAGATACATGGAAGCTTCACAACGCTTTCCATGTTCAGCTACTAAAGCCCTACAAGGACCCCAACCAACAGTTCCAGGGACGGCAGCTACCGCCACCACCACCTGTTCTCATACAGGATGAACCCGAGTACGAAGTGGAGCGCGTTCTCTCTCATCGGCGTCGCGGCGGCAAGACTCTCGAGTTCCTGATACGCTAGAAGGGATACGACCCCACTGAGGACAGTTGGGTTGCAGAAGCTGATATGGGCAACGCACGCCGTGCTCTCAAGGACTATCTTGTCAAGCAGGGTGTATCTCACGCCACCCAGCTTTGAGGGGGGGACGTGTGAGAGTACGACGGCTTATGCCAGCTATGCTTGCTTGCCTCTACTTTATTATGCTATTTCTAGCATAGGATAATCATATGCATGCATGAATTGCTTGATTTCCTAGGTTAGGTGCTTTCCTATATTTTATTATAGTTATAGCACCGAGCTAGGTTGCGTGCACCGAATTCTGGCATTTTCGGTTGCCACCGAATTGCCTTCTACCGAATTCGGTAAGGATCTGTTCGGGACGCTACGCGACCCGCGGAACCTTCGCGTAACACCTGGTTACGGGGCTTTGTGTCGAGCCTATATATAGCCTCGTGTTGTACCCAGGTGATCATTCAATTCGATTCAATTCCATTCAATTACATTCTCTTTTCTGAGCTCGATCCTAGATCCTCACACTATCGGGGGGGAGAAATGGGTCTGGCATGGGGGAAACATGGGGCTATCACGGGGGGAATATGGGGCTATCGGGGGGGAGAAATGGGTCTGGCATGGGGGAAACAGGGGGCCTACAGGGGGAAAGAGGGGGCCGGCAAGGGGAAACAGGGGGCCTGCAGGGGGAGGAAGCATGGGTTAGCAGAGGGAAACATGGGGCCTGCTAGGGGGAAACTTGGGGCCTGCAGGGGGGAGACAGGGGGCCTACAGGGGGATCTTAGGGATAGCTTGGGGGAGTCTTGGGGATAGCTTGTGGAATCATGGGGACAGTGGCTGCATGGAACCTGGGGCCAGCAGTATGGGGGAAACATGGGGATAGAATGGGGGGAAACATAAGGCATGAGGGGGAAAACGGGGGAATGCAAAAGGGGGAATGCGGAAGGGGGAATGTGGAAGGGGGGATGCGCAAGGGGGGATGGGGAAGGGAGAACGCGGAAGGGGGAATGCGGAAGGGGGAGGGCGGAAGGGGGAATGCGGAAGGGGGAGGGCAGAAGGGGGAATGAGGAAGGGGAAACACGGAAGTTGGAAGGCGGAAGGGGGAATGCGGAAGGGGGAACACGGAAGCGGAAACACGGAAGGGGAACGCGGAAGGGGGAATGTGGAAGGGGGAATGCGGAAGGGTGAATGCGGAAGGGTGAATGCGGAAGGGGGAATGCGGAAGGGGGAAGGCAGAAGGCGGAATGCGGAAGGGGGTTGGCGGAAGGGGGAATGCGAAAGGGGGATGGCGGAAGGTTGAATGTGGAATGGGGAACGCGGAAGGGGGAACGCGGAAGGGGGGACGAGGAAGGGGGATGCGGAAGGGGGAATGCAGAATGGGGAATGCGGGATGGGGAATGCAGAATGGGGAATGCGGGATGGGGAATGCGGGATGGGGAATGCGGGATGGGGAATGCGGAATGGGGAATGTCAAATGGGGAATGCGGGATGGGGAATGCAGGATGGGGAATGCGGAATGGGGAATGGGGAGTGGGAAATGCGGGATGGGGAATGCGGGATGGGGAATGCGGGATGGGGAATGCGGGATGGGGATTGTGGAATGGGGAAAACGGAATGGGGCTTGCGGAATGGGGAATGCGGGATGGGGAACGCGGAATGGGGCTTGCGGAATGTGGAATGCGGAATGGGGAATGCGGAATGGGGCTTGAGGAATGGGGAATGCACCCGGTATGCGACAGCGCGGCACGTGACGCAGCTCCCACCTATTCTTATATGTGCGAAGGCGGTGTGTCCCCTTGGAGACCACGATTCGTCACTGATACCCGCGCGTGCTATGAATACTACGAGCGCTCTTGCTACGCGGGTTTTGCTTGCGTGCGCTGCTATGCTGAGTGCGCAATGCTGGAGCGCGCTGAGCTGGAACCAGCGGAATGTTGGGGTGCGAGCGAGGCTAGAGGTGAGCGCCCAACAGAGCGAGGTTAGAGGTGCACAGGCTGCTGCTTGCGCGCGATTTTGCTAGTCGTTTCGCTGTTTAGGCTGTCTCTATTCGTGCTAAACTCACGCGCCACGTGTGTGGTCTGGTCGCGCTGCTGGCGTAGCACCTTCTAGCGGGAGCCGTGGTTGTTTCTTTCTGGACTAGATATTAGCCGCTTATTTTCCTTAGTGTGTGAGTGTGAGTGGTGAGTTCGGTGGCAAGGGCATTTCATCCATTCTGTGACTCACAACCAACCCCACTCTGGTTCCCTCACAACACAAGTGCATCTGGTTTTCGCCAACACTCTCGCTCCAGGCATCTTTTTTTCGTTTGGGCGAAATGGTGTTCCATCACTGTACAAAACAAACAGTAGCGCCAAATGTATACCGCTGCTTTAAAGCTCGCGGCCCAAATTGCGGGGCGCGCTGGCCAAGCTTACTAAGGTTGACGGGGGTGATGTTTTGAGTGCTGTTTGGGTTGCGAAGGGTGGTTACGAGAAGTGAGATGCAATCTGATTGGCTAGTTTTTTTTGTCGAATGGGAGAGCAGGGAACAACAATATGTTGATTGCAATTTGGGACTCTCGAAGCAAACCCAGGTTGCTCCCATGGGTTTGCCGTGTCAACGAAAACCCCAAGGGTCTAGCGCGAAACTGGGCGAAAGGAAACAGCCCAACTCCCAACAAGTCAACTTATTCTCCCACCACCCAAAGGTCAACCTTACTAAGGTTGAACAATTCGGGCCGCGAGCTTTAATTGCATGACCAAAAGGGAGCTCAATTCTGAAGGTCGACAAGTTTGGGCACCTTCAAGGTGTTAAGGAATGGTATATGTAGCAGAATGGATTGATAAAAACACCTCGAATATTGTACACTTGTTAGGCCCGACGGCCTAAGTCCGCTAAAGAATTAGCGGGGTCGACTAAGTCGAGGATGAAACGCGGCGGAAGACTTTGGCGAAAGAACTATTGGCGAAATAGGCGAAGAAGTTACTGAGTAATTGAAGAAGAGTTGAATGAGAATTGATTGATAATGGCAAGTACAAGCAAGGTTTATATAGCATGTAAGAAACAAGGTTGGAAAGTGGAATGTGGGACCAAGAATTGGAGTGCAAGAAAAGTAGAGTGCCACGTGGCACCAGAGAATCTGAGAAGATAAGGATAATGGTGACTAGGAATGTACTGTTCGGAATGAACAGTAAACACCCCTCTAACACTACCCCCCTCCCAAGGAGGCGACGTCCGCGGCGCCTGCAGACTGAAGGTACGCTTGGAGGCAAGCGTTGTCAGGAGGCAGCGAGGACGAAGGAACCCAGCTGTCGTCTGCTGCGTCGTAACCACGCCAACGAACCAAGAAGTCGATGAAAATGACCCCCCCTGGAAACGGCGACGGTGCCTGAGGATGCGCTGGATCTGGTAGTCGGGCTCAACGGTGTCAACAGCTACCAGCAGTGGAGTGCGATCACGGCCCGAGAAGGTGGCGTTGGGATCGGTGTATGGGCGAAGGAGAGACACGTGGAATGACGGGTGCATGCGGAAATGTGCGGGAAGGCGAAGGCGGTATGCGACTGGACCTAGTGCGCGCTCAATGACGAATGGACCAATGAAACGTGGACGAAGCTTGTTGTCCTGTGGCAGTCGGAGGTTGCGGCTATCCAAGAGAACACGGTCGCCGACTGCGAACGACACCTCACGACGACTGCGGTTGGTGGTGCGTGCCATGCGTGCATTTGCGAGCTCAAGGTGCTTCCTCACGTGATCATGAATGAAGGTGAGATGCTGGTGGAAGTTGTCCGCACGAGGGACTGTGGGTGTGAGATCGACACGAGTGGGGACATTGGGGTGCTGACCGTAAAGTGTAAAGAACGGTGACATGCCTGTGGCGGAGTGGTGGTGTTGTTGTATGCGAACTCTGCCATGCTCAGCTTCTTGTCCCATGCGGCTGCGTCGTGCATCGTGATGCTGCGAAGGATCTGCTCCAAGGTCTGGTTCACACGCTCGGTCTGTCCGTCTGTCTCTGGGTGGTACGCAGACGACATGGCTAAGCGAGTCCCAAACAGTGCGAAAAGCTGCTTCCAGAACTTCGAAGTGAAACGAGGGTCGCGGTCTGAGATGATGGAATCTGGAACCCCGTGCAGTCGGACTACGTTATCTATGAACAGCGTCGCGGCTTCTTCTGCTGTGACCTTGCCGTGCGTGGGGATGAAATGCGCTACTCGAGAAAACTTATCCACTACTACGAAGATGGCGTCGTGACCCCTAACTGTGCGCGGTAAAGCCATGATGAAGTCCATGGTAACTACCTGCCAAGGGCGGTCGGGCGGTGGAATCGGCTGCAAGAGTCCTGCTTTGCGCTGGCGAGAGGACTTCGTACGCTGACACGTGTCGCACGAGCGAATGTAATCCTCTACGTCTGCTGCAAGCCCGGGCCAGTAGTACGTGCGACTAAGCGTCTTAGCCGTCTTATCTGCTCCGAAGTGCCCTGCACTAACTACGTCGTGCGCCTCTGAGAGAAGGAGCTGTCGAAGAGGGCGGTAGGCTGGAACCTAGATCCGTGTGGTACCCTTCCGTATGTAGACACTACCCTGCACCTCTGCTCCTACGGGCGGCTGCGGTGTGAAGTCGGGATCTACTGTGTAACCGTGCTCGAAGAGTGCTGTGAGAAGTGGGTGGCCAGCAGTGACTGTGAGACTGGCGAGCTGACAACTAGGGCGAGTGAGCGGATCTGCTGGGTTGCGCACGCCTGGCTTGTACTATATCCTGTAGTGAAAGCTCCCTTCCATGAACTCCATCCACCTAGCCTGGCGACGACTCAACTGCGGCTGCGACTTGAGGAAACGAAGCGAACAGTGGTCCGTGCGTATAACACTATCTGCCCCCTCTAGGTAGCACCTCCACACCTTATACGCATGGATGATCGCGAGCGCCTCCTTGTCGTGTATGGGATAGTTCAACTCCGCTCCCCTAAGCTTACGCGACTCGTACGCGATCGGCTGCAACCCGCGTCCCTGGTCCTGAAGAAGCACTGCTCCTATGGTCTGATCGGAAGCGTCGGTCACTACAACGTATGGGCGAGTGGGATCAGGGTACGATAGTGTCGGTGAAGACGTGAGCGACTGCTTCATCTGCTCGAACGCCTGCTGCTGCGCTGGACCCCAAACATACTCTACGCCCTTCCGAAGTAGGTCGGTGAGTGGACTAGCGATCGATGCGTAACCCTGAACGAAACGACGGTAGTAGTTCGCGAAACCGAGGAAGCTCTGCAACTCCTTGACTGAGGTCGGTGCTACCCAATCCTGTACTGCTGCGATCTTCTTCGGGTCAGTCCTAATGCCACTAGCGGATACGACGTGTCCTAGGAATTCGACCTCTGGAAGGAAGAACTCGCACTTCGACTGCTTAGCGTATAACTGCTCCCTCCGTAACACCTCGAAGACCTTCTGCAAGTGCTGCACGTGCTCATCTTTCGTCTTAGAGAACACTAGGATGTCGTCTAGGTAAACGACAACGAACGACCCTAGGAACTCGGAGAGGACTGTGTTCATGAGCGTCTGAAACGTCGCTGGGGCGTTGGTCAATCCGAACGGTAGAACCCTAAACTCTTACAACCCCTGCTTCGTACGAAACGCCGTCTTGTGCTGGTCCTCTGGAACTACTCGAATCTGGTGGTAACCCGAACGAAGGTCGATCTTTGAAAAGACTCTAGCGCCCTGCACTGCATCGAGAAGATCCTCTACTCTCGGCACCGGGAATCTATTCTTGACGGTGGCGGCGTTCAGTGCGCGGTAATCTATGCACATCCGTAACCCTCCGTCTTTCTTGGGTGTGAAAAGTATCGGTGCGGCCCAAGGCGATCTAGATGGCTGTATGAAACCCTGTGCGAGAAAGTGCCTAACTTGCTGTGTCATCTCCTTTGTCTCCGCTGGACTCAACCTCCACTGCGGCTTCACTACTGGCCTGCTTCCCAGCTCCAACTCTATTCGATGGTCTACTGCTCGGCTGGGAGGTAGCCCTGGGGGCAAATCGTCGGGGAAGACGTCTGCGAACTCTGCTAACAGTGCACTCACCTCAGCAGGAAGAGTCGCCTTCTCACTAACTGCTGCGCTCCCTCCTTTCCCCTCCTCAGCTTCCACCTCCTCAAGAAAAACCGCGAAGATCCGTGCCGCACGCTTCACTAACTGTCGCACACGAACAGCATTAATGATAGCTGTGGATGATGTGGCCCCATCGCTCCACTGTGGCAGCTCCCGGAACTCCCCGTCTACCTTGACGCTGCAGCTTCCCTGAGCCCAATCGAACTGAGTGTTAACCGTCCGTAGCCAATCCCTACCGAAGATGAAGTCGTAACCGTCCAGCGTCGTAGAGTCGAAATCACGCCTAACCGTGATTGGTCCTAGCACTACGCGCAACTTGCGGATGATCGGTCCTATGTGAAGAGGCGTCCCATCTACCATGCGCGCGTCCTTGAAGTTGACTGCGGAATCTGCTTCGAGATGGAGACGACTAACTAATGAAGACGAAACGAACGAGTTGCTAGCTCCGCTGTCTACGAGAATCTTAACAGGAACTCCGCGAAGCTTCCTTTGAAGCACGACTGGACGATCAACAGTGTCTACCTCGTTCTCCGTAGATGACTGCTGCAAAGCCGTCTCCTCTACGTTGGTAGACGTGGCGGGTACGGGAACCTCCACACCAGCTAGCGACCCGCTATCTACTGGCGGTTTCCGTTTCCCTGCTGCCGTTCCTTAAGTTGTGGGCTGTCTCGCTTCATGTGTCCCGGCTTTTTGCAGTAGTGACAGTTCCCCCTAAATCCCATTTTCTGTGAGCCGCCACTGTTAACTGCACCAATCTCCATGGGCGATGGTCCGTCCCTCGATCGAGCGTCGTTGATCGGTCTGTTGTGTCCCCTATCGCGATCGTCACGACCCCGTCGGCTTCGTACTGCGTCGACGCGTTCTGCTGCTGCGACTACCGACTCGAAGGTGGACAACCCGTGAATCGCAATTACTTCCGCTATGTCCGGCTTCAACCCTTCGAGGTAGCGATCGCGCATCTCTGCTTCCGTGATATCGTCTATCTCGTTGCAGATGCTCAAGAACCGTCGTGTGTACTCCTGGACGTTGCCTATCTGTCGGAAATGACGCAGACGCTTCCTAGCAGCTTCGGAGGCGTTCACCAAATCGAACCTACTTTTCAGCGCCGCTTCAAATCCTTCCCATGTGGTCGGAACCGTGGTAACACCCAAAGCTAAACTCCCTAAGCTCGAAGTTGCAGCTGCATGCCCTACGCCCTGTTGATGCCCGTCCGTCTGAGCCCTTCTTACAGCAGTTTGAGTGAGTTGGCGCCACCACTCCAAGGCTGGGCCCCTCAGCAGCGTAACAGCGTACTCGATCCGCTGCTGCACGTCCGCCTCTTGCACCCCGCTCGCGGCGAAATAGTTGTTCAGCATGAAGAGCCACGTCCGCACGTTCGCGTCGCGTTGACTTGGGTCGAACGACTCGGGTTTCTGCGGCTTGAGTGCGCTTCGACGTTCCGGCAGCGCTTCCGCGCCAGTCGATGTGTTGGGCGCAAGAATTGGTGTGGCATGACCATGGGGGTTAGAAGCCAATTCACGAAGCTGTTGCATTTCAGCTCATACCTGACGATTTTCCAGCGTCAACTTTTGAAGTTGGCGCATGAGTTCGGCAAGCGTGTTGCCCATGTCGTGGGGGACTGCGTGCATGGTTTCGTCCCTGTTCGCTCAACGACTCCAAGTCTGCAAGTCGGCACCGCGGGACGATGACGTCGTAGTCTCGTCGTCGACGGTCGCTCGTTGGAAGTCGCTCCCCGCGAAGGCTCTGATGCCAAGTGTTAGGCCCGACGGCCTAAGTCCGCTAAAGAATTAGTGGGGTCGACTAAGTCGAGGATGAAACGCGGCGGAAGACTTTGGCGAAAGAACTATTGGCGAAATAGGCGAAGAAGTTACTGAGTAATTGAAGAAGAGTTGAATGCGAATTGATTGATAATGGCAAGTACAAGCAAGGTTTATATAGCATGTAAGAAACAAGGTTGGAAAGTGGAATGTGGGACCAAGAATTGGAGTGCAAGAAAAGTAGAGTGCCACGTGGCACCAGAGAATCTGAGAAGATAAGGATAATGGTGACTAGGAATGTACTGTTCGGAATGAACAGTAAACACCCCTCTAACAACACTTGAGTTTGCCTGTGTACACTCCCCTTTTCACAGAAGGGCGCCTGCGCAAATTTGGATGCAGGTTCTCCCGCCTTTCGTGCCTGCCTCACTGCTTCGGTCTTGTTGCGCGTTTGATCGGACGGTGAGAATTTCTTCATCGCCACCATGTGCGTCTCGCAAACCTGAATTTCTAGTCAGCGCAGTTCGTCAAGGGCGGGCTGAACGACGACAGCGCTGTGGAGTGGAGGGTTTTGCGAAGGGCGATGGGACAACTGTCGTTGGCTGCGCAAAATCAAAATATTTGCCGAGCAGGCTCGGCAACTCCCAAACGAGGCTGCAAAAATTGGTTCGGGTCGGACAATCGTTGCTCGAAAATGTGCGTCGCCTTCTTCCAAAAGAAGAATTTCTTCTTCGCAATCCCCTTGGCAACCCCTTGCGAGCTTTGGGGTATTCTTCTCTTCAAAATAACTCCAAAGTTCCTCGAACTGCGAGCTCCTTGAGTACTTCTCACTTCTCTTCGAGAACTCCCCTTATCGAGAACTCCCAGTTATAACCCTGTGCTTCTAGCCGTAAGCATTCAGCGCAACACGCACCGCTTTGATCAGATAGGGTTTTGCTATTGCGACCAGTGGGCATTCTAGTCTCTCAGAGCCTCGAGGTTGACTGCTAGTCTGCAGATCGTGAGTATGATGCACTTCGAGTCCCGAGGGTTGGGCTTTCAGAATCTCGCTCAATTCGACGGGAAGGAGAACGTGATGGCGGAGGCGGATGTTCAATGGCCGCCTCCTGTAAGTTCCCAGCTAATGGCATCTTATCTCAGCAATAATATCTCTTTACTAGACACCGTTTGCCAAGAACCCCCTCGTATCTTGGTGAATAAACGGTTCCGGAACTCGCCGCCCACCACGCCGCGATCGCCGCTGCTTCTCGCGAGAAGCTGCGAAGATATCGAACTGGAGGACGATGATTGGACGCTGGGTGCCTGCAGCACGCCCTCCGAGTCGCGGTCTCTCACACTGGCCCAAGGTTTAGACGCCGGTGCTACCGGCCGTACAACAGATAAGGATCAGCGTCGTGTTTTTGGTGTTCGATCCGTCAACACTGCACACTGCGACACAAATGATAGGCTTTCGCTCAGCCGATTAGCGTCCGCGTGCGTTGCTCTCCGCGACGAGGCGACCACCTGCGATAGACCAGGCGACGAGATGGAACTGTCGCAAGGAGGCCGGGCTGAAGTGCGGCAAATCCGTTTGGATAACGCTTGGCCTGACCAAGAAGACGATTCTCGTCCAATTGACATTGTAGCGCACCGAGCGCTCGTGGAGCCGCGTCACGAGGCAGACGAGGGAAGCGACGACGACGATGACGACGAGTCGCACGCGTGGAAGATGCCTCTCGCTGCGACGATGAGGGCGGCGTCTGCGCCTACAGGCTCTGCGTTCGGCGGAACCCTGTCGCGCGTCGCCTGTCGCAGTCGCATTATGAACGTGCGAAGCTCCGGCTGGGCGTCGGACGGCGAGGACTCGGACAACGACGGCGACTGGTGTGCGACGGTCGCGCACGACGACTGGGCGCCGGTGCGACGGCGACTATCCTTCGCGGAGCAAGAGTCCATGGGTGACGAGGCTGCGACGACAGGCAGGCCGGGAATTGAGGAGCGAGGGGCGGAAATTTCCCCCTGTGGCGCAGTGAGCGACCTTCTCGCTGCGTTCTCTCGCACGTGCTCCATCGCCGCCTCGTGCCCTGCGCCCGCTGCCACGTGTCCACCCGTAGTTGCGTCGCAAGCGTCGCACGGCATGGAGGTCGCATTCGCGGCACGAGCGCTGGTTAGCGCCCCAGAGGAGCGCGGAAGTGGGGGCTACGAAGGCGGGGAGCGGGGGTTGGGGTGTGTAAGGTGGAGGGTACGGACGTGCGGGGCAGGGGGCATGGGGGAAGGTGGGGCGGGGATGAAAGGGGGAAAGGGCAGGGCAGAGAAGAGAGGGAGGGAGAGTGATAGCGATGGGGATGGGGAAAGTGGGGAAGAGAGTGAGGAGGAGAGCGGTAGTGGCGGCGACGGTACGTCTGGGAGTGGTGACGATGGGGATGACGATGAGGAGGGAGAGGAGGAAGAGGAGGGAGAGGAGGAGGAAGAGGAGGAGGACGACGAGGAAGAGGAGGAGGGTGAAGAAGGGGAGGAGGGTGAGGAGGAGGAGGGAGAGGAGGAGGAAGAGGAGGAGGAGGACGAGGAAGAGGAGGAGGGTGAAGAAGGGGAGGAGGGTGAGGAGGAGAAGGGAGAGGAGGGCGAAGAGGACGAGGAAGAGGAGCGTAAAGAGGTAGAGATGAAGCAGGTGCTTTCGGAGCAGCAACAGCGCGAGAAGCAGCAGGCCCAACAGCAGCAACAGCAGCAAGAGCGAGATCATCATCATCATCATCAGCAACAGCAGCAGCAGGGCGCGCAGCAGCGGCAGGGCGAGCAGTACGAGGAGAAGCGGGTGTACGTGGGCGGGCTGCCGTACTACGCGACAGATGACGCCATCCACGAGTGCTTCGAGGGGTGCGGCCGCATCGCGCTCATCCACCGCCTGCACTTCCCCGACTCGGGCCGCTTCCGAGGCATCGCGCTCGTCACCTTCAAGGTACGCTCGCTCACGCTACCTTCTCCCGTCCGCGCCTCCGCTCCCCCCTGCGCCCTCTCCCCTTGCCCCCCTCTCCCCTTGCCCCCTCTACCCTTGCCCCATCTCCCCCCTTGCCCCCTCTCCGCTTGCCCCTTCTCTGCCCCTGTCCCACCTATGGCCTTGCCCACTCCGGCCCACCTCGGTTTGAACCTCAAGCTCTCTCCCCACGCACTCCTCTCGCTGGCGGCTGTGCTGCTGCTCTCAACTCACCCTCTTCCCCTCTTCCGCCCATGTGATTGCAGACGGCCATCGGAGCACGGAAGGCATTGGAGCTAGACGGCGTTGACATGTAAGCCGCGCCCCTTGCTGCCCCACTCGCCTCTGCACTGCCCCACTCAGCTCTTCCCTGCCCCACTCGCCTCTTCCCTGCCCCGCTCGCCCCTCCAGTGCCCCGTTCGCCTCTTCATGTTGCATCCCATTACCGCGTTGCCACTGCTCCTCCACCTCCCCTGCCAGCACAATGAGCACGCCGGTCACACCTTCCCTTCCCTTATCCACCCCAGCCTCTATCACCATCCCCTCCCTACACCTCTCTCTCTTCTCACTCTCCGCCTAATTCGAGTTTCTCTCTCTTCTCCCCCTTCTCTCCCCTCTCTTTCCCCAGGGACGGTCGTTTCCTTCGCATCAAGCCCTGCCGCGTCAACCCCTCCGCCTCCTCCGCCCCCACTCCACCCGCCCTCTCCGCCGCTCACCCCACCCCCACCACCACCACCGCCGCACCCCACCCCAAGGCTACATCCGACTTGCCGCCTCCCCAGCGCGCACCAGGCAGTCTCCGCGCGTACGTGGGCAACCTCGCGTGGAGCATGGACGAGGCGGCTGTAGCGGCCTTCTTCCCCGGCTGTAGCATCGTGGCGGTGCGCCTGGCGAGGAATCCCGAGACCGGGCGGCACAAGGGGTACGGGCACGTGGATTTTGAGGATGAGGAGAGCTTGGAGCGGGCGATTGGGAGGAATCAGCAGGTGGCTTGTGGAAGGCCGGTTAAGGTGGCTTATGCTGTGGCTAGCCGAGGGGGTGTGGGGGGCGGAGGGGTAGGGAGGATGGGAGGAGTAGAAGGGGGAGCAGCCGGAGCAAGGGGAGCAGCTGGTGGGGGCAGTCTGCATGGGGGTGCGGGGGCTGGGGGTTTTGCAGGGGAGATGGGGGGAGGTGGGGATGCGATGGAGCAGGAGCATGAGGGGGCGGGGTTAAGGAAGGGTAAGGGAAGGAAGAAGAGCGCAGAGGGGTGCTTTGTGTGTGGTGATGAGAGCCACAAGTCATTTGACTGCCCTGAGAAACACCGCAAGATGAAGCGCCATAAGAGCCAGTGAGGCTAATGAGTGATGCTAGCGCGCACTAGAGGAGCAGTGAGGGCTAGTTCAGGATGCAGTGACACCATAGCTGCTACAGGAGCAGGTGAGGAGGTGCCTTAGTTCCACATCGTAAGGTTTGATCAAGTTTTTTTTGTAAGGGACGTGCTTCAGAGCTTCTGATGTCTCTACCTTGCACATAGCAGCTAATTATTCCTGCTGCATTAGGGGTTCTACAGTGGGTGGCCACTTTGGTAATTCTTGATTGCGCCTTTTTGCTAATTCATGTTGCCTTTAGATGTAGTGTAGGCATTCATACTTTGTTCATTACTTGCCAAACAGTAGTTTGGCATACCTACGGTAGAGTACCGGTAAGGGTTCTTTTGTTCAAGCACATCTCCTGTTGAGTCCACACCACAACCTGCCAGCTTCTTACCGTATGATGACTAAACATTCAGGTTTGGCTACCAGCATGACTGCTTGTCATGGCATGACAGCACAAACAATAAGTACGTCGGCACAAACAATAAGTACGTCAGCACAAACAATTGTTGGGCTGAGAAAAGCCCTTAGGATCTTTGCAGGGGTGAATTCTGGGTAGGACTGATGTAATAGCAGAAGCGTTTAATGAAGAGTTGTGAACCACCTTGCACTAGTATGTGAGGGCAAAGTAAGTTGATTAAAACAGAGAGATACAAGATTATATAAGAGTACAAGGAATACGAAGGGGTATAGTTATAACTGTTGCTGTTGCGGTTCGATATAGTGACGACTCGGGCAACTGCTATGTAGCGAGTCAGTTGTGTGTCCTTGCTGCCGTGCTGTACTTTGTCAGGTCAAAGGTCGCTGACCTTTGACTTACGCATTGTTGGGCTGAGAAAGCCCTTAAGGATCTTTGCAGAGGATAACTTTGGGTAGGATATTTGTAATAGCGGAAGCGTTTAATGAAGCTTTGTGAACCGACCTTGCACTAGTGTGTGAGAGCAAAGTGGATTGAATTAAACAAGCAAATACAAGGTTTTATATAAGAGTACAGGGAATACGAATGGATAGATAACTGTATTTGCTGTTGCGATCCGATACAGTGCGACTCGGGCAACTGCTCTGTAACGAGTCAGTTGTGTGTCCTTAACTGTCGCGCTGTAATTGTCGAGTCAAAGGTTGCTGACCTTTGAATTTCCCGTAACCTCCAGGCGGTTACCCTAACCTCCGAGGTTTGACTCGATGCTTCGATTCGGACTGCTTCGCTAGTGTCTTGGGTTTTGACACGACAGAAGCGCACTAAGACTTATTGTTTCCAACACTCCCCTTCGCTTCTGGAGTGTCGCCGCAGGTGACGTGGCTTTGTCCAGTCAGCAGCATGCAGTATTCGAACTTCTGCTTTCCGAGCTTCTTGGTCAAGTAATCGGCTGCCATCTCAGACGTGGGACAGTATGACAGATCGAGTTTCCCCTTTTCGATCTCGTCCTTCACGAAGAAATAGCGCAGGGCGATGTGTTTCGTCCTGTTTGCGAAGCCGTTCTTATTGGCGATGCGAATTGCTGACTGGTTGTCGCAGAACACGGTGAAGCTGGGTAACTCGGCTAACTTCGCTTCTTCCAGTAGTTCGCGAAGGTAAAGTCCCTCCTTGGTGGCTGAGCAGAGTGCAATATATTCTGCTTCAGCTGAAGACAGTGCGATTAACTCCTGCTTACTCGACTGCCAGGAGATAGGACCGATAGGCTCGAGGCGGTAGACATAGCCGGTGCGTGAGCGCCTGTTATCGGTGTCGCCGGCGTGATCGGCGTCGACGTAGCCGATTAGCTTGGTCGGTGTAGTTGCGTTTTTGTGATAAGTTAATCCGATTGTCGCGGTGCTGACGAAATAGTGGAGAGCGCGATCGAGTTCCGCCAGATGCTCTGCTTCAGGCTTCTTGAGATAGGTGGCGAGCTGGCTCGCGGAGTAGGATAAGTCGGGACGGCATGTGACTGCTGCGAAGAGAAGACATCCGAGCTTCTTCTGATAGTCGCGTATGCCGGCGGGCTTGAGTAGGGTAGATCGTCCCTTTTCGGTTCCTGACGTGTAGCGGTAAGGCGTGGAGATGGCGCTTGGTGTGAGGCTGAAGCGTTTCGCGATGGTGTCGGCGTACTTCTCGGCGCTTAGATAGATTGCGTTTTCTTCCTCGCGGATGTTGAGCCCGAGGTACTGCGTAACGGTAGAGGAGACCGTGAGCGTGAGGTCTTTCTGAAGCTCCCCTTCGAACCACGTGGCGATGCCGTCGGTTGACCCAATGTAGAGGAGATCGTCCACGTAGACGATTAGGAGAACGTAGTCACTTCCCTTTATGAGGCGATACATGCCCTGGTCATGCGGGAGTTGTTTGAAACCGATGCGGATGAGGCGGGCGTGTAGGTACTGCTGCCATAGTCGCGGTGCCTGCTTGATCCCGTAGAGCGACTTAAGCAATTGACAGACTCGGTTGGGTTCGCCGTGGGAGCCGTGCGGGAGTTCGACGAAGATTTCTGCATCCACAGGTGCGTAGAGAAATGCGTTTGCGACATCGATTTGTCGCAGTTTCTTTTTCTTCATGGCGGCGACGGCGATGAGGATTCGGAGTGAGGTGTGACGGCTGACCGGAGCGAAGGTTTCGGTGTAATCTCTTCCGTGCTCCTGGTCAAAGCCGCGTACGACCCAGCGAGCTTTGAATTTGTCGATGGTGCCGTCAGCTTTCGTCTTCACACGGAAGACCCACTTTCCGGTAAGAATAGTTTTGTTTTGTGCTACGCCGATGGGAACGATTTTCCAGGTGTTGCGCTCCTCCAGTGCCTTCAGCTCTTTGTCCATGGCTTCACGCCATTTCTCCCTATGTTCCCCCTCCAGAGCCTGTTGGACCGTCGCAGGCTCCTTAGGAATGGCGGCGCCATGGACTGCGGTGACGAGACCAAGGATTTGCAGTCCAGTCTGTGAGTATCGAGGGAGTTCTGGATCCTCGGGATAAGCTGCTTCGTCTCCCACTTCTGGGTCGGGTATGAAATTTGGCCCTACCCTTTCTGCTTCGTTGGTGTTGACTGTCGCAGGTGTTACGTAACCATTGTCGGCGAAATGGTAGAAGACTGCGGCGTTGTTACTGTCGCGAGGATTTTCCTCATCCATGGGCACGTCGACGGAGCAGTACGGAAGAGGTCCGGCTTCCTCCGATGCCTTGTCGACGTTCTGCTCATCCCAGTCTGCTTCATCCGCTGCTGACGCGAAGGCTCGGTCACCACGAAAGTCACTGGTGAGGTCCCGATTCTCGTGCAAGTTGGCGAGGTACGTTTGAAGGGTGAGTCGTTCGTAGAAGATCACATCACGTGCTGCTACTGTTTCTTTTGTGTGGACGTCGAAGATTCTCCACGCGTTGTAATTTTTCTCGATGCCGAGGTGTAGTCCCCACTGTGCCCGTTGTGAAAATATTCCCGCTCGTGCTTCTAGGGGTCTGTACTGTACCATGCACCCGAAGACTCGTAACATTTTTGTGCTGCCCTGCTTCCCTGTCCACAGCAGATGCGGTGATGCGTTGTTCGGGAGTGACGACGACGACAACAAGTTGTGCAGTATGACAGCATGGTCCATTGCTGCTGGCCACTGGTGGTTGGGTAGCCGCATGCCACGTAACAGTTTGCGCATGCTGTTCTGCAGGGTCCTGTTCATTCTTTCTGCAACACCTTGCTGCTGATGTGCGTAGGGAAGGGAGAGGAGTTGCTTGATCCCCCTTTCCGCCAGGAACTGCTTGAAGCGCTGAGAGGTGTACTCGCCACCTCCGTCTGACTGGAAGCTTTTCAGTTGCGTTCCAGACTCTCTCTCTGCTATCGGTAGCCAGGCGGCGAATGCTGCGAGCGCCAAGTCGCGGCTGGGTAGGTTACGATGCCAGACGTATCGAGTGGCGGCGTCGATGAAGGTGATGGTGTAGTTGTAGTTGACTTGTCCTGGTTCGCGATTGTAGAGGATGTCGCTGTAAACCTTTTCAAGTGGTGCGTACGCTGGAGCGCTCGGGTTGTGATGTGGAGCGAACGGTCGATGAGGTAAGTCAGCTTCGGGGCATATAAGGCAAGTCCCTCGTGCCTTTTGGAGTTCTCTGCCGTCGGGTAGAAGTAGAGAGTCTTTGTCAAGAACTCCTGCTCTTATCGTGTTATTTAAAACCGTGTTGCTTGGATGTCCTGTGCGTGCGTGCCAGATTTCTTCAGAGGCGCGGTGTCCGGGTGAACGTTGGTATGCAACGGAGTTGGAGTAAAAACTGGCGACGAAGTTGGCGCTTCGGTGGACTTCGCGTTGAGTCGGATTTAGCTGTTGTGCGGGTGTTGGTGGTGCTTCGTCGACTGTGACTGGTGTCGTTGTTCCTGCTGCTGCTGATGTTGTCGCTGCTCCCGATGTTGTTGCTGCTGCTGCCGATGTTGTCTCTGCTTCTGTTGTTTGTTGAATCGTCGCTAACGCTCGTGTTCGTTCTGCTTCAGGGATAGTGTGGGAGTACCAAAAACCTCCCGGGCTGAAGTCGGGGTCGAGATCTGGAGGGTGTGTCCAGTCAGTAAAATTCACGATGGCGTCGCTGTCTGCAGTGCCCAGGTCAGGAACGAAGTCGAGGACGAAGACGTTGTTCTTCAATACTGCTTTCCCGATGTAGAGACCGCCTCTCCCGTGGTATAGCTTGAACTCTTGGGTGGTGCTGTCGGCTTCCAGGTGAATCCCCTTCGCCATCAACTGGCTAACACTCAGTAAGTTGTAACCGAGTCCTTCAGCGATGAGTACCTTTGACATGTGCAGTATGACATTTGTTTCTCTTGACTGAAGTTGTACCACTCCTTGTCGTCGTGTGCGCAGGTTTTGATTGTTGGCGACTGTGATGACAACTTCTCGTTGGAGTCGGTGTTCGCGTTGTACGAAGCGTCCGGACGAGCACATGTGTTGCCCGCAGCAACTATCCAAGAACCAAGTGTCTTGGCCGGATGGTTCACTTTGAGCGATGGCGGCGTAAGTCGGATTCGGGTGGAGTGATTCGCGGCGGGGCG